AAAAATTAGCTAATTATCATGCAAATTAGGTAATTAACGAGCATGGATTTTTACCAAAACCTAATCAAATCTGCGCATTGGCCCAGAGCATCTATGCACCAAGTTTCATCAAAAACCGATGTATGGTTCTTGAGATAGCAGTGGAACAGTCGGACACACATACACACACACACACATACACACATACACACATACAGACACACTAACTGCAAAGACTCCCATTTTGTGCTTCGCACATGGGAGTCAAAAAATTAGATAAAAACTATATTTTTACAGATTTATTTGACCAGGAGACACGGGTAAATAATACCAATATACAGTGAGATGGGGGAAAAACTGCACACTTACATTACAGCTATGGTTGATGAATCTTGCCAAGTTACCAGTTTTAGTAGCATCTATAACATTATCTGCATCCACACGAAATAAGTAACTGCTACCAATACCCATCTTTTCGTAGCGTTTTTCACGCTCCTCGGCAATCACTTGCCGTACCACTTGTCCAACGTACTCCACCACCATTTCGTCAGCGCTGATTTGTTCCAAGGCAAACAGACCCCAATTATGAATACCGCTCTTTAAGAATTTCAGTTGCTTCTTACGAAACTGAGGTGAAGAAATTAAAATAGATACAATGACTGTCAAAACTATCAAAAACCATTAGTAATTTGACATACAGCAGGATACTGCATTTGTTCCTATATAAGCACATGTCATTATATAAAAAGCAACGTTGATTGAACAAACTTCAATGGACACCAAAAGTTTGTTGGTTTTAGGGGCCTACAGTTGCGATGTGCTGCTAATAATGATACAGTTTATAGCAAACTTGAGAACTTTTTGTGATTCAGTGTGGATTGACTTTGGTACTTGGTAAGTGTGAATAATGATTATTAAAGATCTGGTATGAATGTGTCATGGATTACTACTATCAATGGACTGCAAACTAATCTGCATCATGGAATTCATTGAGAAAGTCACAGCCAATATTTTATAGTGTTAGTTGCCAAACACACTCTCCACTGGCACACTACACTCACAAGTGACCCTACGAATACTTTTTACAGCACAACACTGGCATTTACCTTAAGTTGGTTAAACTTGAGTAAATCACTCATTTCTGTGTGTCCCAATGATGACAATAACCTTCTTTGATTTGATCTTGCTTCACGTGTTAGCTGCGCTTGCTGTTTCACTCTCTCAGTCAAAGCTTTATTCGCATCCTAATGAGATACAATTAAGTAAACATACACTCAATACTTTTTTTTTTCTCACCATTTTGAAGTTTTAAGCCATTTTCCTTTCAAGTTCATGAACTTGGCAGGAAAACAATGAGTTTCATTTTATTTCACATGTTCACACAGATTTAATTTAGTAGGATTTACAGATCAGTGATAATAGTGAAATTAAAAACCCATGTGATCTTGCCAATTACTGTGTTTCATTTCAAGTAAAACAGTCAATAATAAACAATTGTCCTACATAGCATTACCTATTTAATAATGTACATTGTGGTGCCCAACAAAAATAATTTTGCAGCCCATGTTAGTTTTTGCTTCCAGTACTACATGCATGCCAACTCATCGTAATAACATGTTAACTCAATTTTTATAGGTAGAAACAGTTCAAACTGGTCTTGCATCGGTAAAATTAGATTCATTACCTCAGAGTTAGGTTCATTCTCTTCTCCCAGTGGTAACACTTGTCTCGCTTTCAAATACTTCATTTTCTCCTTACCAGATATCTTATAATAACCCTCACTTCGCGCACTTCCAGTTTTGTGCTGTCTAACATCATCAGCCGATTTCCTTTTTTTTCGGGGTGGATCAGGTATTTGGGTTAGTGAGAAAAGTTAAGGTCATATTTATCAAATTTTCATGAAAATATTGTGAATACAGCCAACATTTTAACTTCCTGGGTCATTGCATTCTGTGGTTCCACAATACAAAACGCATTGTTTTGCTGAAAAGAAGCATGCAAAAATACAACAATAATAATCAGCGTTACTCTATGAATGGTGTTTTACTGCACAAATTACATTATCCAAGTTTGTTGTTATACATATGATTTTTACCAATGATGAACAAAAACAAAAAACTTTCCAACGTCTATCCCTGATACACTGACAATTTAACGACATAAACTGATTGGCCAACAAAATTAATTGAAAGTTAAAGAGTTCAGATCTATCTTTGGCCACCAATCTACATGCTTCGATATCTAGTTTCATCTGTGATTGGATATTAAATGCTACCCGATATCTGATTACAATCACTTCTCTAAGCACCGAAGATTCTCTACGCATTGATTGTAAAAAAAAAGTAATATAAATATCAATGTTGATTCCAAATTGACTTTTTGATTATATCCATGAGCCGTTTTTACTTTGTTTATATTCTTTATTAATTGGAAGTACCATTTGTTCATTTGTGCGTGTGAATTTTATGCTATACAGCTTTGTAGTAACTAATTCATCTGTTGATATATTTGGGTTCATGCCATGAATTAATCTAAAGAGATTAGCTGACAACAGTAACAGAGCATCAAAGTACATTACAGGAAATGAAATGAAATTAATCACTCCCAGTCTTGCATTGAAAAGTCTTCATTAAGTACGAATTTTGAGAATTTTGCAGTTCTTTGTAATTATTGATTATAAACAGAAGTTTCGGGTAATTTTCCTTCCTCAATAATCTTTTGAAACCTATTCAGATAAATGTTTGTTACAATAAAAACTATATTAATTGGTGCACCTAATTTATCTCAAAATACTAATTATTATTAAATGTATTCTTTTAATTTGCAACTCTCCAAAAAAAGGTTAAAAATGTTAAGCTCGCGTTGTAAATGCAAACAATGCATATAGGTGAACCCTGTATAACAAGTACAGTTCACGCTTGCAGGTTGATGAAGTTCTCAGTTGTGTAATTTCAAGTTCCTAATTATTCTAACAATGAACTTGTGTTTTGTTTTTTTTTAAGAAACAAGTACCTAGTTTTTAAGTGAAGCTCCGTTGGAATGACATTCTGGAAATTCTTAACTGTTGATTTTAAATCATGAGAAATGTCATCTATTTTTATCTGGATCATTATTTGATGAATCCATAAAAAATTATTTTTTTGATTTGAAGAAGAAAAATAATTTCTATTTGTATGATATTAATTCATAATTAGTTTCACTACCCAATTTACTCAGTATGTTAAGTATGGAGGACTAGGACTACCTACAATGAATTTCTATATACCGTTATTTGCTCTATTGGAAACATCAGAAGTGCATATAAACCAAAAATTACATTTGTACGGGTAGTAGATTTGAATTTTTAAAATATTACTTATTTTGACCATAGAAACACCTCTGCAGTTTACAGAAGGGTGTATGCTATTTATTGGTTTTATATTTATTATTCCTAGCAACATTCACCAATTTTTAAATCAAAGATGAAGCTTCCTACCGAGAGTAGAATCGTCAGCATTTTGGGTGCTTTGGATTTAATATGTTTGCAGTATCTGTATAGTAATGCAATAATTAAAAGGATATTTGGATGATAAACCCAATGAGTGTAGTTGAGCCAAGAATCCTGACTGTTATTCAGTAATGATTCATAAGAACTTCTTAGGTATTTGGCATCTTCTAAGTCTATACCATTGTTAAATATACTGTATAATATTGCAAATTCAGCATAAGGATCCCTTGCTTCAAATACTGGTACTGGTTTTTTGGGAGTTTCTTCATCCAAAACCTCCTCAACTGGCTCAAGAACTTCCTTCTTTGGTTTCTTTTTCTTTGGCTTCTTTTTCTTGGGAGACACTTCCATAATTGTTTCTACAACCGATTCTTCCTGTGGTTTGACAACTTCATCAACAGGCAGTGTTTCAATGACAGGTTCGGGTATTTCTATTTCTACTTCCATTTTGGTCGGTGTTATTGGTTTTGGTGATGGTGTTCGCGGAGGAGGAGGTGATGGAGACGGTGGTGGACGGAGACTGTAGCTGTGTTCCAAGAACATGAATTCTGTTGCTTTATCCAATTTCCTGGTTGTTGGTGTCAGAGGCGGGGCTGACATAGCATAGTCATGCATTGGGGGAAGTGCATAGACATGATCCTATTAAAGAGAAAAGCAAATATCAACTACAGTGTTTAGTACAAAGTATACAACAACTGAAATTTATCCAAGTCGGTGAATATTAGAAGTTTATCTAATGTGCTGGAGAATTAAGTCTTGTAATCAATATGAACTGGATAAAGGTGTTTGATATGGTACCAATAGCGACGTATACAACACGTGTGAAATTTGAATATGTGCTGGACAAAGACCACCATTTTTTTAAATTTGTGCACATTTACTAATAACCTCACCTAAGAGAGCAGTAATCAATACAGGTTTTTAAGGAATTTAAACCATTAAACACATGGTTGAATGAATGCACTTAGACACCCACTTACTTGCACTGCAGAAACACTGTGCTCTCACCAATGCTCAGATCAAAACTGTACTTACTTGCACTGCAGAAACACTGTCCTGTCACCAATGCTCAGATCAAAACATTACTTACTTGCACTGCAGAAACTGACACTCTCTGCTGTCTCTCATGTTTAGATGAAAACAAAGTCTCAGCAGCTTCCCTTGCTAGAACTTCTTCAGTTTCAGAAGCTTCTTCTGTTCTTTCAGAATCAACTTCACTTGGCACTGGCGATATCCTTTCCACTTTTATTTCAGGAATTAATTGTTCATTACTCTTTCTCAAAGGCAACCTTGCAGCTTCAAGTTCGGCAACCTCACACAGTAAATCAAGGGGTCCTTTCATTTGTGTTCCTGGTGTTGGTGGGGTTTGTAAATTCTCAGGAGAACAGCATCATCGGTGGCGTAACAGGGCTAAGTAATGTTTCTTCATTATATGGCGACCTCTGATACTGTCCACCAAATGGACTGAGCAGGACTCCATGTGGTGACGGCACACCCGTAGAGCTATGCATTGGACTTGTTAGTTGTGAAGGCCCAGTATAAGGTCCATAAGGCGACTGATGGGGTTGCCTCAACACTGGACTGATTAAAGTCTGCCTCGTTTGGGGACTTTGTAACGCATGTCCTGGAGGTGTCGTAATGACAGGAACATGCGCAGATTGTTGTAAGGGCAAGCCTATAGAACTTGCAAGTGGTTCTGAAGTCCCTGATATTGGTTCCTGAATGGGCATTGTAGTTCTGATTCCACTAGGAGGATAGTTCCCTGATGCGTCAATGGCAGTTTGTATTCCTGGCACAATACCCGATTCCACATTTTGTACCCGTGGAGACACTTGATCTAATGGAAATCCAGACATTCCTGTCCTTATCATTGATGGTCTGGTTAAAATTTCCAATAACATTGAAGAGGAAGACTCAGACCTTTGTTTATCCTCATGTCTATCAGTTCTCGGCACAATCTGTGGCATATGACTTTCGGTTTTACCCGGAGGAGAAACAGCACACACAAATTCCTTTTGCAAATCCTGTTCTTTACCAAAATTTGATTTTGATGCTACTGGTGAAAATCCTTTACTTTCCTCAACAGGACTTATCATCTCCACTTCTATGTCTGCAATCGTTGATTTTTCGAGTTCTAAGTTCAATGCACTAAAACACAAACAGTTCAAATATGAGTATATACAAATATAATGTACATCAGTAGCCCACCTACCATGTGCGATTTCAATACCAAGATTAAGTGATACCAAACCGAGGTGTGGCAGAATTGTCAACAAATCTTGATGTCGTTCATGTTCATTGCCTGCAGATTTCCATGGAATTTGGTATGCCTGTGAAACCTCTCAGCAGGCAATGTGTTCAATAAGAGCAAAAACATATTTTTGGTTTCAAAGTGACAGCCATAAAGATCTATTTAATAACTACATATTGAGATATGACGAAATTCTTTTACCATAAAAACCAATGACAAATGGTTCAATAATTATCACTTTCAGATACTTTGTACTACAAAGTTACATACTCAAAAGTCAGTATTGAATCTGGATACCTACATTTGTGGTTTTTCTTCTTTAATTTCACTTTTTGTTTCTTCATCCTGCTGTACAACCTGCATCTCTTCTTCAGAAGACTTGACTTTGCTAACACTTTCATTCTCACTAGCAGTAATGTCTGATTGCACCCCTTCCCTGCTTGTACACACAAAAAACAATGTAGTACATCACAAGTGGTTATCAGGCAGGTAACTTTCTCACTAAATCGCTACTGATAATGTCATTTAATTAAATCTAACTTGTATAGAACTTAATATTTAGGTAGTGACAGAAAGAACACCAATATCCAAAGTCAAGTGATACCAAGTGAGTAACTGGACTGTGGTTACTGGTATGTAATAGTCAAGAAGAAGGCAATCTGCTTTATCAAACCAAAAGTAATCAACAAATCAGTGAGCAAGTTTGCTAACATTCAGTCCAAGACTTGATGTATAACTAACATTAAAAACAGATTGGTGACAACAGAAAAATGTCATTGCATATTTATTTTTGAACTGAAAAGATGAGTGATACTTACGACAGAGCCGAGTCTTCTAACACTTCTTTTGGCTTGACCTTCTCATCCACTATCTTCACGTCAACGTTAATTTCATCATCTTTTACTTCTATTTTGTTTTCCTCTCCCAATATTTTATTGCTTTCTTTTTCCACTTCTTCGTCTTCTTCATCCTCTTCTTCTTCATCTTCGGAATCATCTGATTCTGATGAGCTCTCATATCCAGAACTACTTCCCGCGGACTCTTCCGATTCAGACTCGTCTGAGGAGCTTTCGCTGCCACTTTGTTCTACAATGCAAAGCAATTCATTATTCACACAACATGTTTCAGAAGATATTTCGTTTTTCTAATTGCATGTAGTCAAATCCACTATTTATTATATTTTATAATTGAGCAAATAAATCTAATCCAAAATATACAATTAAAAAAGAAAACAAAATCCCTGTGGGATAAGAAGCAGCATTTTATTTTTGGCTTAACAATGAGTGTAATAGTGCACTGAGATTCCAGTGAAAACCAATCCTACCTTCAGGTTCAGATTCATCATCACTAATAACACTGTGTGGTCTTTTCTGTGCTATCGATAACTCAGTGTCTGGTTCAGAATCAGAGTCATCCATGATGGTTGGCGTATCTGGACGTCGTCGTCGTTTTATTCTTCTTCCATCATCTCCATTGTCATTATCATCATCCTCATCATCGTCGTCGTCGTCATCATCATCAACAACAGGAGATGGTATTTTTCTCTTCATCTGTAGATGATACAAGTACATTTGGTGATGTGCAATCTTAACTAGGCAGTGGGACGAACACGCTTATCTACTGCATTACAATCCAAAATGGGCATATTTGCGCCCACCAGTGTGCCTTCTTACAGGAATGATTTTGTTTCTAGGCATCATAGCCGTAATGAAATCCCCAAAATCAAGTTGGGTCGACTTACTGATTACCCGAGAGAGGGCGAAAAAAAAATAAAGATTGTGTACGGCTGAAGGAACCAAATAAAGTGCTGTGGCCCAACATTTCCTTTGTTTTTATGCTTATTTTGCTCATAAACTATGAATTTCATTTTTTTTTAAATTACAAATTTTGTAACTACCGGGTAGTTATGTTTCATGCTTTTCGAAGTCCCTGTACCAATGTATGATTTTCTTTTGCATCAATGACGCACCAGGGATTTAGAATAATTAGCTGTATCATCCCTATGCACCCAATACACATTAGAATGGATGAAGGAGGCATATTGTTACCCACACTAAATGTGTTTATGAAACGACTCAAATCATTGTCCTTGGGAGCAGAGTGGAATAATTACCTTAAATGATGGCATTCTTGGCATCGTCGCCCGCAGTCCAAGACCATAGTTTTCCATGTTTAACTCCCCCATGGAATTTCCACTAGACATAGATTTAGCCCAACTTGACGTTGTCATAGTTGGCAGTGGTTTACTTGTCATAGCTGGCTTCTGTCCATCTTGTTCAGCCTTAATACTTGGTTGCTAAAATAAAAGTTAATAGTTTTATATTACCATTTTATTAAAAATAATTCCATTGCCCTTCAATCAACCACATCAGGATTGTTGCGGGGGGAAAAAAATGGGTGAATGTGTTATCATGGACACTAATGTGCATTCCACAATACATATGACCCATGTGTGCATATATTGCTATGTGTAGTATTGTACCCATATTAAACACACATGATCATAATGACCACCTTACTTTTATACATTTGAACAAATCTGTATCATTATATGTGTGCTATTACAATTGGATATCTCAAATGGGCAAAAATCAGACAAATATACTGTAAAATGACTAATTTTCACTGGGTTTAAATTTCGCCTATTTACCATTTCAGGCATATTCAGTGAGTTTTAAATTCACGGTTTTATCATTTAGATAATGTGTTCTATGCTAAATTTTACATATTCACTAGGTTTTAATTTAGCGCATTTTCCAGTCGGCGAAATAAGCAAAATTAAAACCCGGTGAATAATTCCCCTTTACAGTATAGAATTTGATATAATTTAAAACATTCCTTACTCTAGCTTCCTCTGCATTTTTATCCCACCAGTTTTCAAGCGCTTTGAAAGCAGATAATTCAACCATACGCCTGCAAAGATCTCTTTTCATAATCTGTTTAAGTTCCACAACAGACTTTTCCAAGATTTTGTCTACAGTTTCTTGGTTGGGATCAGTTGTTGGCTGATATCCAGGCGGTGGCACCGTGGGATCAAACCCCGGCATAGTTGTAAATGAATGTGCGGTTTTGTTCCAGTCATGGAATTGTCCTGGTTGTACCTGGGATGGATGCATAGGAGGCAAGGATTGTGGCCAGGGTAGCATGCCGCTGGTATTGGGTGGCGGCATGGCATTTGGTAAATCTGGCCTCCACATGCCAGTTCTCATTATTACATCTGGGGTTAACAACGGATACATGGGATTGAATGCAGGAAAACCTGCTGGGGGGTAGCTTGGTGGCAGGTGTGCACCAAAGCTTGTCGGGGGAATTGGGAAATTACTTGCAGTACTGCATGGCGGTACAACAGGGTGGGGGTGGGGCACGTTGATTGACATGAGAGGTGGTGGTTTAGTATGATCCATGGATTTAGTAGGAATTATGGTAGGTTGGCTTGCTGATGCAGGTGGCGGAAGTGGAAAACAAGGTGGTGGTATGCTGTAATTAGGGGGTGGATATACTGGATTAAATGGCAACGGCGGCACAGTCAGTGACTGAGGTGGTGGTAGATTAACTTCTAAAGTTGGTTCATCATTACTACTGATTGGTGACAGACTCATCTCATCATCGGATATATCCATATCAGCACTACTTGTCACAGAGCCTTTCACTATGTCTTCCTTCTAGAAAATAAATTAGATACATAAAATGCTATAATGAAATCAACCACTCTTATATTGATAGTGAGAGTAATTGAGTTGCCACTCTCCGCTCACACATTAAAGGTCTATGGCTAAATCCGAGTCTTGTGACTTGTGACCTTTTTTCCTATATTTTACATTGAACTTGTCAAAAATCAATGAAAATAAATTTCATACAAATGACCCAAAAAGCCTTTTCAGCGAAAATTAATTTCATAATCTATTAAACCCAGAATGCCCTAAAATACACAAGTATCATGAACTTGTTATTGTCTCAACTTACTGTTTCTTTACTGGGTTCCTCCTCTTCAGCTAAAATTTGTGACTGAATCACAGGCGTGGAGGATATAGTCTCCTCCTCCAGACTTTTACCAGTAACACCACTTTTACTCGATGAGGTATTGTCATCTGGTGTCTGCATGTAACTACCCTGCCCAAAACTCTCCCTGCTTTCTGCATCCTCACTGGCAAGTGGCGTCCTATTTGGACTATCAACAAATTGTTTTTCACTTGATTGTTTGACTGATTGCTTTTCATTTGATTGTTTCCTCCAATCCCATTTGCTCTCAATGGGTGAGCGGTAATCACCCAACGAAGACTGACTTAGTTCTAATAGTCTCTCTGATAATGATTTTTCAGTTTTTCCACTTTATTCGGTTTTGTTGCGGGGGGTAAAGG